CTTTTATGTGTTGCGAAAGCTCATTTTTGGCGTAGTGTTTGAACCAAAATTTAGTGCAAAATGGTGTTTTGGTGCACGCAGTGGAGTTGCTCTCAGTTCTCCGTTTACATGTAAAGATTCCAAGTGTTTTTCCGTTGTATTTTGTACTTTCTCTCATTAAAAACCTCTACTTTTTACACATTCTCTCTCATTATCTTTGTAAATTTAGATTTTTGCAGAAATTTTGTGTTCTGAATTCAACGAAAAATGGAAAAATCTACAAGGTGGCTGAAGGGCTTCCTTGGGTTGAAGAAAGACAAGGAAAATGTGGAGAATAATTCAAATTACAGTGAAAAGAAAGAGAAGAGAAGGTGGAGCTTTGTTAAGTCCGGTTAGGATTCTGGAGGATTGACTCAGATTTCGGTGACTGACGGGGCATGGATGAGATCTTACATTGATGAGACAGAGAAGGAGCAGAGCAAACATGCCATTGCAGCGGCTGTGGCTGACGCTGCTGTGCTCCAGCTCAGGCTGAGGTGGCTATTGTGATACTCACTAGCCATGGCAAAGGAGGTTTTGACTGGAGCTTCATGGCTGAAGATTACAAGTTTTCGACCACACAGAGCACTCCTAGATTCGTGACTTGTGGACAGGCCAATAGTCTGGTTACACCAACCAAGAGTGTATTTGGGGATGGCTTCTTCAGGCAATACTCCAAATATCCCAACTATATGTCAAACACTCAGTCATTCAGGGCAAAGCTAAGGTCTCTCAGTGACCCAAAAAATGACCCGACTCCGTCCCTAAGAAGCGGCTTTCGCTAAACGAAATAATGGCTTCAAGGACTAGCTTTTGGAGTAATTCTATTTGTACATAATGGTGTTCATAATGATGACATGGAAGAGTTGTACACCATTATGTACAAACAACATTACTCTACTTTTTGTTGCATCGGCGATTTATTTAGTGATGGAGAAGCTGCCGGATTTGGAAGAAGATAGGTGGGTATTTCGCGGTGAAATGTGTGGGTTTCACGTGAGTTCTTCAGAATTTGATTTCATTTCCGTTTTTAATCAAGGAAGAAACCTGGCATCTGTACACCTTTATGTAACAAAGGATGTACAAGTAGCTTAACTCATGAATTTAACGCACATATATATTTAAAAATGGCACGCAGAATGAACGTATGCACATTTCCTGTAATTGTCTGCTTTTCATCCACCACTCCACATCTTGATGTCTTGGCTGGATTTTTTTCCTCCTTAATATGACCGCATGCAAGAAAACCTTTCTCATTTAGACATGTATGGATCAATAAGTATATGATACTTTACTTTGACATTGCAAGATGGACCGAAGACATAAATGTGAGGTGCAAATAGATTTAGGAAATACCGAAACATTCCCGACCAATACAATTAAGCGCAATAAGCAAGCATGCCCCGTGCATATTGAAAAACTCACTTTTACTTATTGGCTAGTAAGTTCAAGAATGTTGCGCTTAGTGCTACACACAAATGCTGATAGAGTTAGTGCTATTAGATGGTATTGACATTACAACAACAAAATTTGTGATTTTTTTCTTCTTTAATACTATTCAATATTGTCTAAATTATCTTACCAAAACTGTTTATAGTTCCGATTTTAATTATAACCTGTGGTAAAATATATTGAGATCTTAATTAAACTCCAACAAATATATATCATAACATAAACTCCGTAACTGCCTTTTACATCTAAGGTTGAAACAGAGAATCTTAATTATCACATAATTGCTTGAAATGAGTGGAAGAGAGAACTCATTTATCCCAAATGGAAATGGTCCATCAATATCCAAAGATATTGATTTTTTATCCGCTATTATTGAAATATTACCCCCATGATATCCAATTATGTAGCAACAAACTTTCCTCATGCAAGAAACTGAAAAACCACTTCTACCTCTCTTGTTAAATTGGTGAATCAGACATGACCCTATACGGTATATCCTCGAAGTGCGTGTTTACAAAAAAATTCATGTACTTTTGAAATTATTACATTTTTTTTTTTTTGGCAAAATACTACGTATAGGTTTATCCTCTTGTTAGTGCACTTCTGCACAATCCTCTCATTAATGATCTGGGTGTTGAAGATAAGGAGTTACATGGTTTGCCTCATAGACATCAAGACTTGAAGTTGGCTTTGATTTACTTGAATTTGAATTTGACTTAAAGAAGATTTTATCTTGTTGACATTTCCAGACTTGAGTTTTGAGAGATTTTCTTCTCTTGTTGCTCCTAATTTTGAATTTTCTTATTGACGACTTTTTCCTAGACTTGTGATTTTGTTCATGCACTTCAACTTATTATTTTTCACTTAAAAGTAGTATTTATTGAAATATCTTTAACCATTCCTATTTATTTTTAAGTATTATTTAGCTAGATCCAAAAGTATGGTGAGCTTTTAATACCAGGGTACAATTGTCATAATGAGAGAGGATGCTGATAAGTGTAATTTTGACACTTATTCGGAGCCTAAAATAGTGACATTTGATAGTCTTTTTGATAAAATATATTCTAAATTAT